AATTTTTTGGGTATGGGATAATTTTGAGAGGGTAAGAAATAGATAGTTCTAGATCATGAATTTTTTGGGTATGGGACATCCTCTTTATTCTATGGAGGATTTTGAGGATCTTAGTTAAATGAAGAGAGAGAGAGAGAGAGAGAGAGAGAGAGAGAGAGAGAGAGAGAGAGAGAGAGAGAGAGAGAGAGAGAGATTTGCAATGCTGGCTTCCTTTGCACCAACTAGGTCCTCATATTTTCAACAAAGCTTCAAATTGAGAGTGTCCATGCTTTCAAAGATAATACCTTGATGTACTGAAAGTTTTAGAAGGAAAAATGAAGCAAAATTCCTTGTTTTTCGAAGATGTAATTGGGTATTTCTCTATTGATAAGCCATTTCTTGAATTTAATTAATTAATTTTTCTAGTAAAAGGCCATTTCTTGAATGTTAGCTTAAGTTTGTGAATGAACAGGTGATTTGTTGTCTGGAAGGTGCAAGAATTGGCATACAATATGAAACATCTTTTGCAGGTATTCATGAAGAATTACCAACTATATTATGAGCATAGCTGTTCGATATATTTTTGTGCATGTTAGTTGTTGTATATTGACAGTATGAAGTCTGATTCTCTTTGGTTTTGTACATGAATGTGATTACTCTTGTTTAGGCTGTGTGTATTGATAGCTTTGATGGATATTATGTTAAGAGCCAATGAGATTGATGCATGGCTGATGAGAGAATTGTTTAGCTTTTATTTAGTTATATAAGGAAATTGTTTAAGTTTTATTTAGTTATGTAATTAAGCAGTTAGGATAAGTTTCAAAGGCAGTTCTTATAAATGTAGGAGCAGAGCAGTTACTTCTGTTCAAGAAGTTACTTGTCGGGGCAATTATAACTGGGGGTTAAAGACCAAAAGCAGGTACATAGACGGGGTTAAGAAGAAATTTTGAAAGATTTACTCTGTCTTCTGTTTATGAGATTGAAGGATGCTTTCTAAACTTGCCCTTAACAAGAATTCCACAATAGGTCAAATGGAAAGGAGGATCTCTCATCTTCCCCTATTCAATAGATAGATAGTTGGTGGGTAATTTCATACTCCTACCCATACTGGGTAAGGCGGATAACAGAATTGTTAATTCTTCTTTTATGGCCTCTTTAAGTGTAGCCATTGAGCTGCCCTGTGTCACCGTTATCATATGAACAGTACTACCAGTGACACCAGTATTTGATGAGAGAGAGAGGATAAGGATATAAGGGAGGGTGGGGGGGGAGGAGCACTGGTAAGAATGGAGTTGCCATGGAAATGTTTCTATGAGTAATGGCTACTAGGGTGCTGAAAGAAATAAAGAGGGTTTTTGAAATTACTGAAAGAAATATCCTTAAAGTAGTAGGGTACTTTGAGTTACTAAAAGCTGGTAGATTCTTTGTTAAGAAATATGAGTGCTGGTTGTAAAAAAAATAATTATTTTTGCTTGGTAAAACAGTTAATAGATGTTTATATTTATTGCAAATATTTACAATATAATTGTATATATGATTCTTTCTAAGAGGATTTTAAGAGGATAATTAAGTAAATTGGTTAGATTAAAGAAAAGAAAAGAATCTAAAAGGTTATGTCATGGCTCCTATTTTTTACCTGCTTAAAGTTAGCTTCAAGAACCTGCCAGACCTCTGACTCATGAGGCAGTCAGATAATGGTCTTTAGGTGTTGACTTGATGGGGTTAGGGATAGAACAGCTATGAGAATAATAGGAAGAAGAAAGGAGAGAAAATTAGCAGAGAAGATCGTAGGAGAGAAGAGAACGTTAGAGAGGATAAAATATTTTCTCTAGATTTTCAATTATCCAATAGTTGTGATACAGTATTTGTACATAATGCCAGTCAATGGTACAACACAATAAGAACCTCAACTTACAGTGACAACTGACATTGCGGCCTGTACCCTACTGGACCCTAGTTAACAATTATTACATGACTGGATGGAAAGGAAAGAAAAGAAGATTTTCCAACTAACTTAACGAATTAAATTTCTTTCTTTCTTGTGACAGCCTCAGTCCTGGAATCTTTCCAGTGGACATCCTTGAAACTCTTGTAGTATATACTTAACTAATGTTTGCTTAACCAGTCTGCTATGATGGTAGATAGTTCTTTTCTGCAGTATATACTTGGTTCCGCAACAATCTGGTCTCAAGAGTTTGTAATGGTCAATTTGCATTTGTCGAAACATGAAAAAGTGGATGGATTCTGGAGTCTTGTGGCACAGCTAGCCTGTAGGGAACTGCCTCAGTTTTCTTCTCTACATTGAAAGAACCATAGAACTTGGGTGCCAATTTCAACCATCTTCTAACAGCCTCAGTAGATTGTCTATTGGGGTTGTAGCTTCAGCAGAAACAAATCTCCTTCCAGAATGACCTTTTCATTCTTTTGGCATTTACAAAATGCATATTTATGAGGTTTTAGCAATTTCTCCCTCGGCCTTCTACTAATCATCTCTCTTTCTTTCATCCACTTGTCTAAACTGGATCAGGGTGTTATGTAGAACCTAGTAAGCATCCTACTTTTTTATGTTACAACATAGGTAAGTTGGAGAATGTGCTTAGAGTTGTTCATAAGCAGCACACTCTCTAAAGAATTTTTAGAATCACTCAACTTCTTCTCTCTGAATTTGGTCGCTGCATGACACTGGCCGGCCACTTAATTTGTCAAATAGTCCATGGTTTCACTTTGCTACTGGTGTAGTTCCACACATCTTCATATCATTTGTCACCTGCAAACTTTATTTGCCCATAACTACTGTACTGAAATGCACAGAATGCAATACCCCGTCCCAAAAGTTGACTTATTTCTACAGTTGCAGATAGAGAAGAACTGGCAGATAGCTGTTTGTTGATTTTTCGTATTCCATTGAATCCAAAAGGGGAAAAATTGGCACGTCTCCATTGCAGACAGCCACCCAAAAATTGTCCATTGATGACCTTTCCCATCTGGACACCATTACCACAATAATAATGAACAGTGGCATATTAATAAATTTTTACTCGATCACATTAAATGTTTATTATATTTGAAAAATCTATATTTTTTTCAAAAGTAGTATGTTAATATTTATTTATGCTCTCTCATTGAAAGCAGATACTACATATTCCCCTATTCAGTTTCTTAATTCCTTCAAAAAATTGAAGTTCACTCTTTGCATCAATCATCACTATCCTATATCACTCTGTTCAACCATCCTATTCTACCCTACTCAAATTGCCATATTTAGCCTAAGATAATGGAAAGACCATTTAACCTTTCATGCATATCTAAGCATTAGTTTCTTGTCTGTAATCGAATTTTTCATTCTTGATAAGGCTCCATTTGAAGCCATAAAAGAAAGCTTCTATAGACAGCAAAATTTGCTCTAGAAGAGGTTTTTCTTAAATGGTAAAAAACTGATTTAAGCGTATTTATGAAATGTGTTTTAAGAAATGCACAGAATTGCATGGGTTAAATTCATTATGGTCTGGTTTCAATATTAGTATGATCTATGTTTTGAGTTTTGGTTTATGCAATTCAGAAATTGGTTTACTTCTACCTATATTTGGCAGGAGAACCTCGTGAGCTTTATCACTGTGTCCTTGAGAGCAAGTCATTTCTAGAAAGGATGACTGTCCTTGAACACACAATTCCTTTCTTTCTGCCAATACGAGAAGCAGAAAATGATCTTCTTTCTTCCAATGCTATGGTAATGTTGGTTGCCTGCCTTGTTCTTTTTTTCCTGATGGTGCTCCAGTATCATATCTATTCTTAAGAATACTATGCAATGGTTTATCTCCAGAGATTTATAGATCATGTTGGAGAACTTCTGCAAGCATATGTGGATAGACGGGAGCAGGTATGCTTGGGATTTGTAGAATGTGAAGCCCCATAAATAGTTTTTTTTTCTTGTTAAAATTTGTGCTCTCCAGAGTTGGTTGTGAAGCATGGGCCTGCTCTATCTATGATTCTGAATTATGTCATATGAACGGAAAATTATAATCAGTATTCGTCAAGGTGAATGGATATAAAGTATCAAAATATTTTAAAGAATGTCCATGTTCAAAATCTTGCTTGATTTATTCTAATATACTTTTGATTAATAATTTGTTAGCTATAGTTCATTATAGAAGTGTTGAATGAGGACTAGCCATAGGCAGTAGTTTGTGTTGAGCATTTGGAACAATTTGCAGTCGGCTGCATAAAACACAGTTATGTCATCTGTGTTCAAAATGCCATTGCCTTGTGACAATATAACAAGCACTGCTTTGCTAAGGTTTCTTTTCGTAATTTCTTGCAGGTTCAGCTTATTAAGGAGCTATATGGAAATCAAATCGGCGAGTTGTTTCACAGCCTTCCCTATCACATGATTGAATTTGTACTAGATGATTCGGATTGGTTAGTACGTTCCTGTGATTACACCTCTGTCCAATAAAGGATTCCTTTTCTTCTGTACATTTATTTGAACTGACTTCTTGATGTGATCTCATATCCAGCCAATGAATCTGTATTTTGATCAATTTCATCATGATTGTAATCGACTTAAATTATGAGTTTTATATAATTTTGAA